TGCTTTCTGGAAACTTCTCTAAGGTTCTGGAACCTTTTTTTTAAATTCCTTCCCGCCAAGTCGAAAATTCGGAAAAATTAGCGTTTTTGCGATTTTTCTCCAATTTCTTGCGCAATTTTTAGACCTTTTCAGGTCTTTTTAGCTATTTTTGAAGTTTTTGTTTCGATTTTTCCAATTTTTTTGTCTGAAATTTGATGGAACGGTATTCAGGAAGATTACTGTAGAAAACGAATTTCCTTTTTTGATTGGCGTGATTGTGTTTGCAGAAAAAAACTGCAAACTACAAAATTTTGTACAGTAATCTACAGTAATCAAACACCGTTCCAACAAATTTTAGACAAAAAATTCTGAAAAATCGCAAACTTTTCCGAGTTTTCAGTTTTGGCGGGAATTCAAAAAAAAAGTTTCCAGAAACTTCTGGAAGTTGTCATAAATGGACGAGAATTGATGGTTTTTTTTTCGCTTTTCGAACCAATTTTCCTATTTAAATATGCATTTTTCACCTAAAATGTCTGGCTAAAAACCCATTTTTCTTCCAGATGGCTTCCGCAAAATGACTCCCCTCTCCCAAGGCGGCCTAACACGAACCGAATCGGATCAGGATCATCTGGAGTTCAGTCATCCGTGTTTCGTGCAGGGACGTCCCGAACTACTGTCACAAATCAAGAGGAAGGTGAGAGATGCACCCAAAAAGGTTCCGTTTTTTTTCACTTTTTGCGTTTTTTGTAGTTTGTAGTCTTTGTAGTCTTTGTGATCCCGTTTTGCACCTGATTTTGCACCCATTTTTCTCTATTTTACACTCCCTAGAACCTTTGTCTTCACAGAAATCATCAAAAGAGACGGAGGACAAAGTGGTTAACGAGCAGACCCAGCAGAGTTTGGAAATTGTGATGGCCGAGATGCGTTCGATGAGAGAGAAGGCGAAGAATATGGAGGATAAGATGAACAAATTGACAAAGTGAGTGAGAAAAATGGATTTGACTTGTCAAGAGCTTCAAAATGAGTATAAACACGACTAGGTTCCGCTCACTTTGGGTCCCACCACGAAAACTACAGTAACCTTTTGAAAAAATCAAAATTGTCGCAGCCTAAGCGTGTTTATGCTCATTATGAAGCTCTTGACTGGATGAATAGGAATACGAAGGTCATTTGGCTCAAAGTAGCTCAAAATCAATAGGAAAGCTCTGATTTTTCAATTTATTCATCAAAAGACAAATTCCAGAGAAAATCGCGATATGTGGAACGAGATGGGATCGATGCGGCGGCATCACGAGCGCCAACAGCAATACTTCAAGAAGCTCCTTCACTTTTTGGTGTCCGTCATGCAGCCAGGACTATCGAAGCGGGTCGCGAAACGGTGAGAAATTTTTTTGAAGAGAAAAATCCAAATTTCACCATTCCAACTAAATTTTCAAGCTTTCTAACCTTGATTTTCGAATTTCCCGCCATCGAAAACCCCTAAAAAGCTAGAATTAAGAGTTAAAAAAGACATTTTCACGGGCGGGATTCGAACCAGGGACCTCTAGTCTCAAAAATGTCTGGCTGAGAAATCCACTGAGCCATTCGAACGCTTTTCTGAGAGAAGGGCTAGAAAATTGATTTTCGATGGTCCTGGAGCTGTATTTGGGCTCAATTATCTCGATTCCTTTAAAAAGATATCAAAAACTTGTCAACTGATAAAGTATTGCTGATATTATGATAAGCATTTTATCAATTGACAGGTGTTTGATACCTTTTACAGAAGTTGAGATAATTAAGCGCAAAGCTCCGGGACCATCAAAAATATCTAGGTGTTCCTCTAAATTCTCGATTTCCTTTTTTGTCTGCAAAACTGAAATAGTTACAGCGGTGTGCTGGGCATAGACTTTGGCCAAGCGTCGAACAACATGTCGAATGGCGGGACCCCGAATTCAAAACGTCAGAGAACGAATGCTGATGAAGGTCCCTATAAGGACGTCTGCGATCTCCTGGAATCCCTCCAACGAGAGACCCAAGAACCATTCAATCGACGTTTCAATCACGATCACGAGGGACCGCTGATCTCAGAAGTCACCGAGGATTTTGGCAATTCTCCAGGAAGAGATTACTACAGACCAGATCCGTTCCAACAGGGCGCGAGGTATTCAGAAGCGACGTCTTCTCGGGAGCAATCGCCGAATCCAATTGTCTCACCGCCATCAACAAATGCTTCGGCAAGAAATCAGGGAGCAGAAGCGAAGCCAGAATCGATGTATATGGGATCCGGGGCACTGACCCAGAGAATATACACCGAGCATCCAACGGAGCAGGAAAGCGGGATCATGATGGGCGAATGTTGAATTCTGGAGCGTTCCCACAGCAACAGCAGACTTCTGGAGGTGTTGCAGGGCAGAAGAGGAATCCGTATAAGCATGCGGTGCATAAGAATTTGAATTCACAGGTGAGCAACGTTTTCTGGATAGTTTTCTGTAAATTTGAGTTATCTAGAGTCAAAAAATCGGTTTTTGACGGCCCTGGAGCTATGTATAAGAATTCAGTTTTCACCATTCCAATTACATTTTCAAGGTTTCTAACCTTGAATTTCAAATTTCCCGCCATCGAACACCCCTACACCACGTTAAAAATATTTAAAAAAAAAGAAATTGCCACGGGCGGGGATCGAACCCGGGACCCCTTGCCTCAAAAATGTCGGGCTGAAAAATCCACTAGGCCATTCGAGCACGTTTTGGGAAAATAACTGAATTCTGATAGTCCTGGAGCTGTATTTGGGCTCAATTATCTCGATTCCTATAAGAGATCTCAAAAACTTGTCAACTGAAAAGTACTGCTGATATTATGATAAGCATTTTATCAGTTGACAAATTCTTGATATCTTTTACAGAAGTTGAGATACTTGAGCTCAAAGCTCCGGCCACCATCAAAAATCGATTTTCTAGCCATTTCCAAAAAAAAGAAGATCGAATGGCTCAGTGGATTTTTCAGCCTGACATTTTTGAGTCTAGGGGTCCCGGGTTCGAATCCCACCCGTGAAAATTTTTTTCTTGAAACTTTTTTTGTTTTCAGAGGTTTTCGATGGCGGGAAATTTGAAAATCAAGGTTAGAGAACCTGAAAATCTAGTTGGAATAGTGGAAAATTGAATTTTTCGCTTAAAAATTATAGTTTGTTGTACATTTTGCACACAAAAACAGCTCCTGGGCCATCAAAAACCTACTTTTTTAGATTTGAAATCAATCAAAATCAATTTTCAAGCCATTTCTCAAAAAAGAATATGAGATAATTGAGCTCAAAATAGTCGCATTTTGGATAATGTGACTTCCAAAAACGATCCAAAAAATTTCAGAACACCTTCCAAGCCAACGACTACTACATGCCAAACACACTTCCAGGCCAGCTGACCTATCAACAACCTCAACAACCAATGAGACAGAATCTAATGGCCATAGAGGATAATCAGCCAGCCTCCGCCATTGACCCTCATCAGAATCTCCATTCCCCGACACTCCATCTCTCCCCATCATTCGATCGACAGCTTTCCCAAGAAGTTCAAGAATACCTGAATGGAACTGATCATAGTATCGAATCATTCAGAGATATTGTCCAGAACTACAATTGGAATACGTTTGGAGACGAGATGCCGTTGGATGACGATGAGGAAAACGGTGCGTTGTATTTTGATGACGTGCAAAATGGAGGAGGAGCTGCAGGACCATCTGGACTGCAAGGACCGTCTGAAGGACAGTACCACCAGCAGTATCCGTTGGCACTGAAGGATGCTCCAGAAGCTTCGTATTACGACGCTGATGGAGAGGATCTCATGGATCCCCTTATCAATGGTGATTTTCAGATTCCGGTGAGTTTTTGGAAATATGCGTCAAAGGCGCGCCAGAGTCATTGAAATTTCAAAATTTTGAATTTGGCGTCAAAATTCGGGCTCAGAAAAACGAAGCTTTTTATCAGCCTTTAACAGAAAACGCGTCGAAGGCACGCCAGCTTCCAAGGAACTCAAAATTTTGAATTTGGCGCCAAAACTCACAAACTTCAACTGCTAGAGAAGCTACAATCTGATTTTTGGGATTTTCTACCTAATTGATTTTTTCCAGAACATTCTTTTTCAAAAAATCCAATTTTCAAGCTGTCTAACCTTGATTTTCGAATTTCCCGCCATCGAAAACCCCCTAGAGCACTTTGTACAAAAAATTTTAAAAAATTGCCACTGGTGGGATTCGAACCCGAGACCTCTCGCCTGAAAATTGTCGGCTGAAAAATCCACTAGGCCATTTCAGCACTTTGGCTAGAAAATCGATTTTTGAACTCAAAAATGGTGTTTTTTGATGGTCCTTGTGCGTAAGGCTTCCGTGCGGTCGGGAAAATTTGCCGACCGCCGACCGAATTCGTGCGTTTGCGCGTCAGGGCGTTTGCGTACGCATTTCATTCTACGAAGCATTTTTCGAATTTTTTGAATCTACATCCGCAAACACTCTCTGGCATGTTGACGCGCAAATTCGAAAATTCGGTCTGCCGATTGTCGACCGGCCAAAAAATGGCGCCAAATTCAAAAATGTTAATTTTTCAAAATCAAAAAAACATCAAATTTTCAGGACCAAAACTTCAATCAAATGCCTGACGAGGAGATTTTCCCACGCTCACCAGTCCTCCGCACGCCAAGTCCGGATAATTTTATCTAAAAAATTTTTCCTTTTTTGTTGCTCTGAAAGTTTGCCTTTTGCTTTAAAAAATCAATAATTTCCCTTATTATTTTTATCCACCTTCCTTGATTTTAAAAACTATTTTTATCATTGTTTTCTGTCTCTCTCTGTGTCTTTTCTCTCTACAATAAATTCTCCATTATTAAAAAAAAATTCCAGATTTTTTTCTTCATGTTCCACAGTTTTTTTTTCCTTTTTTTAGCTAGAAAAATTCCTTCTAGAATTCCAGATTTTCCCACTTTTTTTTCCTCAAAAAATGTTTTATTCATGTCAAACCATAATTTTTCCCAAAAACATATTCGGATAAAAATTAATTCTAAAAATTAATTTTTTTTTCAGATTTTCGAAAAAAAAAATTCAAAAAATTTCAGAAAAAATGAGCGTCTCGAAACGAAAAATACAGTAGCCCGACAATTTATTCAAAATTGAGACATTTCTAGCTACAGTAATCCTAAAAGGCGCATGCAAATAGCGGTGGAAAAGAAACAAAGGTCCCACCACGAAAACTACAGTAACATTTTTTAAAAAATTTCGTTCTTTTTTCGGAACTTTAAATATTAGAAGTTTCCGATTTATTTCAGAAAACTAGAGAATTTAAAAAAATCTAGCTACAGTAATCCTTAAAGGCGCATATCAAACTGTTAGTCGGAGGTCCCAGCACGAAAACTACAGTAACCTGAACATAATTATTTCATTTTCTGAAGTTTTTGATCGTTTTTAGTTACAGTAATCCTTAAAGGCGCGTGCACGTACTATACTACTAGTAAACGAAGGTCCTAAAACGAAAACTACAGTAACCTGAAAGAATTTTTATTTAACTTTCAAATTTTACGATTTTTTTGTCGTTTTCGGCAATTTTTTAACTTTTAAAAGCTTTAATTTTCGGTTTTTTTTTCGAGAAAAATCGATTTAAAAAAATCCCAAACTAAAAAAATATAATTTAGATTACTGTAGTTTTCGTTTTGGGACCTCTGAACCCTCTCCAAGACATCCTAAAAGTTCAAACAGCATTTTCGTCATTCTTCCTTTCGCTGTCTCGCACTCTCTCCTCTGCCCACACTCTCTGCTACCTCCCGATATCAGCTGTCGCATGTTCTCTTTCGTCTGTGTGTGTCTGCGTCTCATCGCCTCACACACTGTTTCTTTCTCATGTGCGTTCCCCGTCCTCTAGGCAGCCGCGTGCCTCGAAACAGATGTGAAACAGAAGAAGGAAAAGAGACTCCGAAAATGTTTAGGCGTGAGAGAGTGAGAGAGTGAGAGACGCAGAGAAGAAGATGTGTTAGACGGTGGGGAGAAAAAAGGAGAGATTTGCGCACTTATTATTTTTGCCTCCTGCCTGATATGTTGCCTCAAGTTCTTGATTATAAGGGTAAATTGAGTAGACATAGTAATTTAATATTTGTTTTTCCGGTGTAGGTAGTAATCTAAAGATTTATTATGTCCCTTTAAATCTTAAAGTTCTTCTTGGGTGGCCATGGACCTTAAATTTCTCGTTTTTTTTTGTTTTTAAAAATTTCAAAACCTTTATTGCTCATCTTTAATTATTCTTTTCCTTATCCTATGATTTTTATTTGTTTTTCCTTTGATTTTTCTTACATTTTTTTCAAACAAAACTGACTTTGCAGATCTGAAAAAAATCGCTCCCAGCTACTCAATTTTTTTGAAAATTTCAGAAAATATAAAACAAAAATAGAGCTTCATTTTTGTAGTTAACAGTTTTTTTCCCTAAAAATTCATATAAAAAGATATGCTTTGCCGAAAAAAAGCGACCTTTGAACAGGCGCATCCTACACATACACTTTGAGCTTAATTATCTCGGTTCCTGAGAAAGATATCAAAAAGTTGTCAACTGATAAAATGTTTATCATAATATCACCAAAGTTTTATCAGTTGACAGCATCTTAATATCTCTCATAGGAACCGAGATAATTGAGCTAAAAGTAAACGCATAGGGTGGGCAGCAAGTAGAGCGTTTACGGGCTGTTTGGAGGCTCCAGATTTCCACCAGTCATTTCTACCTCAAGGAAAACCGGTACAAAAGAGTTGTTAACTACAAAAATGAAGCTATATTTTGGTTTCATATAATCTGAAAGTTTCAGATAAATGGAAAAATTCTGGACTTACTGTTTCAGAACTCCAAAGTTGGCCAGTTTGGAATTAAAATCTGGTAAATTTGGATTTTTGAGGAAAATTATCTTTAGGAGGGTTCCTTTTTAAAGGATTTTTAAAGGAGGCCAGACACCAAAAAAAAAGTTTTCCTGATATTTTGCATAGAGAACCCCCATGAGGGGTTGAACTCATGACAGGCAGCTCAAGGGTACAGCGCCGCTACCGGCTGAGCTACGGGGGCGCGAAGGCGCCTGACGACCGATGGTCTACATAAGCGCGGCGCGATTTCGTCCCCCGAACTGTGCCCCGAAATTTTTGCTGTCTCGCCTCCTTTAAGGACCCTTTGATCAGTAATTTGTTTTTTTCTACAGAAAATTTCGAAATATCTTTCTTTAAAATTTTTTTAATCGCATCTACCGTAATCACTCTAATCGAATGACCCCCCTCAACTTTGAGCCAAGCGGTTCCTGTGTAAGATATAGAAAAGTGGTCGACTGAAAAAAATGTTTATCATAATAACAGCAACATTTTATTGATGGAAAACTTTTAGATATCTCTCATAGGAACCAAGATAATTGAGTTCATTTCAAAATATACGCTAGGTCGCTTTAGAAGCCTATTCTATACGTGCACTTTGAGCTCAATTATCTCCTTTCCTATGGGAGATATCGAAAAGTGGTCAATAAGCAAAATATTGCTGATGTTATGATTATTATTTTATCAGTTGACATCTTTTTGATATCTTTTACCGGAACCGAGTTTCGTGGGCTTAAAGTTGACGTCTAGCTGGCGACCACAACGCAGACACGCGACGCGTCAAAAATTGGTTTGGTGCCCAATTTCGAATCGAGGTCCCTCTCAACCCAAAAATGAACTTTTGATGGATGTTTTTTGCTAGTTTTCAGCATTTTTTACTGTCTGAAATTAGAAATTTCTTTTTTTTTAATTTTAATTTTTTCTGTGAAATTCAGCTTCTAACTAATTTGCTCTAACTTTTTCTTTATCTCTGCGTCTCTCTTTCTCTATTACTCTCTAGCTAACCGTTCATATTTCGAAACATTACGTATTTCGAACACTAACTAACACCAACGTCCTGTGTGTCCTCCTCGTTTCTTAAGTACATAAGCAATGAATCTCAGTTTTCTCTTTCTCTATTTCTCTAATTCTCTCATTTCTCGCATTTTCTCAGTTTCACAAAATTGGATTTTATCGTCTTTCCTGTGCAAAATTAGCCTTTTTGGTACACCTAATCGTAAGAAAGATTTAAATAATTGAAGAATTACATCATTCAAACATAAAATTGTTTTTTGAAAAAAACATTTTAAAATCATTTAGAGATTTGAAATTGATTTTGAGCTGATTTGAGCTGAAATTGAAAATGTGCACTTTTTCAAAATTTGAGAAAATTTTTAGCTCTAAATCAATTTCTCGAATCCCTCGATGATTTTTTTTGTTTAAATTTTCACATTTTTTTAGTTGTCTGACCAGCCTTTTAACTTGTTTTGACCCTCATATATCTTGTTGACGATTTCTCAAAAATACTGCGAAGATAATCTGTCTGAATATATCTGAAAAACAAGGAAGAAGAAGAAGAATTTTGATATGATAAGAGATTAGAAATTTGGAATTTTCAAGTTTCGGAATTTTCGAAGTTTAGAGTTTTAGAATTTTTGAATTTTTGAATTCCTGAATTTCTGAATTTCTGAATTTCTGCATTTCTGAATTTCTGAATTTCTGAATTTCTGAATTTTTGAATTTTTGAATTTCTGAATTTCTGATATTCTGAATTTCTGAATTTCTGAATTTCTGATATTCTGAATTTCTGAATTTCTGAATTTCTGATATTCTGAATTTCTGAATTTCTGATATTCTGAATTTCTGAATTTCTGAATTTCTGAATTTCTGAATATCTGAAGTTTAGGAACTCTTGATTTCTGAACGTCACCAGAAAATTCTAGAATTTCGAGAAAAGTCACAGAAATGAAAAATGTCACTTTTTAGCTGAAAATTACAGAGCAAATGTCGGAGACATTTCGGAATTAGTGAACTAATGAAAACGGAGCAGCAGAACACAGAATTGCAGAAGTTTCTAAAATTCTAAAATCTGAAATTTCACAATTTCCCGCCACCTCTCTCACATTTTCCGGACCATTTCAACCAATCTAAAGTATCGAAATCCCATTTTTATAGTCAACTTCCACTTTTCTTCAATTTTCTTCTCACTTTCCACCCACTATGCTTCTAGTGGTGGAGAGATATCCCGTTTTTTCCTCTATAAGTAAGTACACTTACCTTTCTTCATTTCCTTCCGGCTTCTCCTTTTTTCCCTGGATTTTTCGTTTTACTTTGTCTTTTTAGGATATTTCACGTAGTAGCTGTAGGTGGTGGCCTAGAAAATAACCCTAAAAAAGCTAGGCCATATTCAATAAGCCGTAGTTACCGTAATTCAACTAATGGACGCCCACCAATACATCCGCTTTTGGAAAGTCCATTTGATTAAAATTTGATTCAAAAATTTCAATAGGTCGATTTGGAACTTCTTGAAATTTTCGAAAAATGCTTATGATTTCGGAAAACATTTCTCTGAAAAATTGATCGAACCAATCGAAATGGGTCAGAAAAGGTATCTTAGAGCTATCAGATTGTTTTGAAACTGTCAGAAAATATAGAACAAGACAAGAGCTTCAACTTTGTGATTGACAACTTTTTTGTACAAATTCATCCAAATGAGATATCCCTCATAGAACAGGAAAACGGCAATTTACAGTATTTTCTCCAAGCCAACCCAAACCACTAACTTTGAGCAAATATATATCGGTTGCTGTAAAAGATATCAAAAAGTAATCAACTGGTAAATTGTTTATCACAGT